CATTATCCATCAAACCCGCTCCAATGTATCCCTCTGTATCTGTTTCAATTAAATGTCAGTAGATAGTAAATCGAAAGTAAAGAAAGGAACATTGTAGTGGTTTTGATCGATAATGGATAGTTTCGACACAAAAAAATTCCTAAAGTTGAAAAATCTAGATTTCAAACACCCTATACCAATGTAATCGTTTCCACTAGACCCCAAGTATGATAGATCGATGGAATCAGCTGTTCGAGAAAAATCTGGGAATCTAATAGAGTACAGGGTATATTATTCAAAATAAGGGAGTTACAAAAAATCCGGAATAACTTGAAAAGTGGCAACATTGGCTATAGTATTTTCAAGTCCGCCACGTTTTGAAATCAGACTGTACATGAATTCAAACAAATCCAACAACAGGTTACCAAGATATCCACCTGTTTCCAACCACTATCCTGAGGAGAATGATTGAAAAATGGCACTTGCCTGTGCGGCAATTCGCACTTAATTTTGCGGACTCAAAAACCTACCTGTGCGACCCCTCAATCTGAACCAAATCCACGGCGCAGCGATTTATTTGCTGTCGTTATTCCGGACATATACTTCCGTCATGTGATAATGATGTGGAACAAAGAGCAAATGAAAGGGAATAATGTCCTTTTTGCCAATATACAATCGTGCCACGATTTGAACTAAGGTAAGTTAAAGGCAGAGCGTCAGTATTTCCGAGAATATTTCGTCCCTCTCGAAAGATAATATCCGATGGACCAGTATAAAACTCACCAATTGGATTCTAAAGCTTGTAGTGGAAGCACCACATGAGTTTCACAAACATTGGTCCATCGGATAATATCTATCAACAGGGATGAAATATTCTCGAACATACTGAAGCTCTGCCACTAACTTAGCTCAGTTTGAATAGCGGCTTGTTTGGATATTCGCAAATGAACATCACCCCCGCTAACTCTGGACTCGTTATCACATGACAGAAGTATGTCCAAAATAACAGCAGTAAATACATCGCTGTGTCAGTGATTGAGCTCAGATTCAGGACAGGGTAAAGGCAGGTTTTTGAGATATAACATTCAATTAGTATCGGATGGCATAATTCTCATCTCGTTATCAAATCGCGTAATTGAATGCTAATTAACGCACAGGAAAGTGCCATTTTTGAATCATTTTGCTCAGGATAGCGTTTGGCACAGTTGCCGCTCGATAAAATATAATGTTTTCATGCCTTATAGAACATCATATAACATTTCGTTATCAGATGACGTTCGAAATTTGCAGCAGACTCTCCTACTATATGTTCCATTATAAATTGACAGTCATCATTGCCATCTATCCTCCTTTTGACAAAAACCAAACTCAACTTCTATAGTCTGAACGAGACACCATATACTCTGGAGGAGATTTGAAGAGTATTTCTTCGTATTTTGTTGGGCGTACTTTCCTCAAACACTGTATCATATCAAGGCCGTGCCCGCAGGAAGGGGGGGTCCCTTGAGTTCGAGATGGTAAATTGAATTGAATTGAAAGTTCATGGGCACGGGTTTTCCCCGTATAGTTGATTTCGTATTGGAAATCCCTTACCGAATATGGAATTTAATATCAGCTGTCTCGTTCAAAATGAAGAAGTTGATACGTGAGTTCCAAGAAAACTAATGAAATTGTTCAGTCAAAATATCAAGTCAGCCTATGATCGTTCTATGATGCACTATTGGCCCATCCAAGCTTAACACAATTGATACTCATATACCAGGTGTCCCAGAATTTGTGCAACAGGCAATATGTACAGAAGTAATATTCCAACAATATTGCAGAAATTCGATGTCACGTGTCATAAAACCTCAAGGTTTCTCAGAACTTATCTTACTGCAAGGTTGCCGTAACTACTAAAAAGGACGTATTTTGAATATAATGTTCTCGAATAAATTATTCCAGCAAGGTTATTGCAACATTGCATATATGGTACAATAACATTACATATTCAATCTAACAATCACGATTACTGATGTGATTTAATATAAATCATGAATTTAGCATCGCAGCAAGTTTCCAATGTTCATGTTGATAATTTTCGATCATCGAACACGAAGAGATGATTTTATTTTCACGGCTACAGCATTTGCGTTGACATTTTGCGAAATGTCAACGCAAATGCTGTAGCCGTGAAAATAAAATCATCTCTTCGTGTTGTTCTATATAATATGTGGCAATTTCGTTCTGACATCACATGTTCATCAGTGGGATCAGGAATACAATTCTTGAATTGACCTCTCTAAACATGATTTTCTTTTTGTAGATGATTCCTTCCCAGGAGAGACTTAAATTAGCAAAACCTTAGTCCAATAGGTCGAGCTATAAAAAAATATGAATTCTCTTATTAAGCCATAATTCATTTCATTTGACCCCACCCTGAAAAATATGGTCATGAATTCCTCTTTTTCGCAAGCAAGGGTTGCTGCATTTCCTATATACAGTGTGTCCATTTAGTGCGTAATTCTTCGATATCTCTAAAGCCATAACCTATAGAAAAAAACTTTGAAGGAAAAACTTCTTCAGTTACTCAAGTTGCTTATTTCAAAAATATTCTCAACATTACTGGGTGTTTTATAAAAGCGGGATGACCCGGAGACGAGTTTTTTTAAATGGAACACCCTGTATTGTTTATTCAGAATTTATTCCGCTGAGGTTTACCTTCACATCGCTGTAAAAATAACTGAAATCGGTTACGGCGTTGCCAAGTTATAATTGATAAATCTATTTTTACCACTATTGAAGAGTCATGTTGAATTGGGCATGGTATATTCATTTATTCAAATTATGAAAATATTTTTGGCATACGGTAGTAGCAAGGTCTCACGTATACAAATTCAGTAATTTTGCGATAAGTTCTTCAACAGGGTGCTCTATTTCGCATTTAGAATTTCGCAAGATTCAGATGGCATTCATTAGAATTTTTCAAATGGAACACCCTGTATTTTTTTTCACAAATTTATTTCGACATCTTTCACCTTTTTATCGCTGAAAAAAAATCATAATCGGCTGCGGCGTTGTCAAGTTATGGATAATTTCCTTATTTTTACTACTATTTCGGAGTATAATTTTCACGTCATAGTTCTTTCATTCAAATAATCAGATTTCTTCATTGACCATTCATATATTTTTTTACAATAGGAACATTTGCACGTTCTCCAAGTTTGAATTTAAAACAGAGTGGATTTGACAAATTGATCCAAAATGCTACTATCACAGATTTTTTGCAGACAACGAATTACTTTTTCGAAGTACACTTCCATTATTCGTGTAATGACATGTCAAACATCGTCACAATCAAATATATCTTGAATTTATTTAAAATTTTGCTGAATTCCATCCCGAAACTCGCGTGGTAAAGAAATATTATTTGTATCATTATGTAGAGTTTGCCTCCTTCAAGTTTGATGGAGATTTGGTATGTGGGAATAACGACAATAGAAGTGGTCCAAATTTCCAAAAATTGTCCTTATTCTCGCAATTCAAATCTCCATTGTTTGTATTGTAGAAGTTGTTTTAAAGGCAGGCGTTTTGCTTTTGGCATGTTTGTTTCACATAGGTACATATTATTTAAATCATAAGTAACAAGATTACGGAATATTTCAAATTTTGACAATGCTTATATCGCAAAGATACCTGAATGATCTATGTAGAACCTCGAATGTCATGTGGCAAGCAATATTTCCACAATCAAATCAAATAAAGGAACCATGTCTCATAAGTTGCCCTGATAGATAGTGATGAACATAAGGAAATTACTTATAACTTGAAAACCCCGCAACCGATTTCAATTTTTTTTTCAGCGATGAAAAGGCGAATGATGTCGAAATAAATCTGTGATGAAAAATACAGGGTGTTCCATTTGAAAAATTCTAGTGAACGTCGTCTGAATCTTACAATATTCAGAGTGTAAATTTCAGCACCCTGTGAAGGATAATCTCGCAAAATTACTGGATTGGTGTACGTGAGACCTTGCTACTACTGTATGCCAAAAATCTTCTCAAAATTTTTATAAATGAATATACCATACCCAATTCAACATGACCCTTCAATAGTAGTGAAAATGAGTTTATCAATTATAACTTGACAACGCCTCAACCGAATCCAATTTTCTCCACAGCGATATAGAGCTAAACCGTAGTGGAATGAATTTTGAATAAAAAATACTGGGTGTTCTATTTAAAAAAACTCGCCTCCGAGTCCTCCCGCTTTTATAAAACACCCAGTATTATTGAAAATATTTTTGAAATGGAACCTTCAATAACGGAAGAAATTTGTTTCCAACATTTTTTCTCTAGTGATAATGGATTTCGAGATATCGAAGAATTACGCACTAAATGGACACACTGTATTGACCGAGATATGACACCTTGCATAAACTCTGGGACACCCATATTCCAGGTATACCCACTGAAGAACGATTAAATACAACCTTTCTCAATTATATTTTTTCCTTCAATCTAATAATTATATCATTTTGAAATTTTGAAGCTCTCAAAACTAGATGATTTTATTTTGTTCAGAGAAAACATCCATATATGTATTAGTGTTGAACGAGATTCATCGCTCAACTAATATAATATTTCGTAACGAGAAATACATTAGAAAAATCAAAACAAGGTACTTATTGTTAGAGAGTGTTGCAATTTATTATTCTTCAGTATATTGGGATAACAAAAATTTCTAGATGCCAATGACTTTATGGGCGAATTTCATTAAATCCAATAATGTATAATCCTCGAATTTTCTGTTCATGTATATAAATGTTAAAAATATCGACCTATGAACATTTTTAAAAACATAAATATTTATGTTAACAAAAGAATATATTAATCTGTAATATATTAAATATATATCTCAAAGTATTCATACATTATTTCTCTACTTACAGACGAAATCAGATATGTGCAGACGATAAAATATTTTACTCGACGTAAAAAAAAATATTTTGGTAGCGCAGCACCTATAGTTGGAACTAATTCTCAAATTATAATCTCGACATATTGATTATGAGGAACATTTGCACTAGGCTCTTTCTCTGGATCAGGTCGATGCATTTCGGTCATCAATCTAGCTTCTATTGTTTGAATCGGAGCCATCGGATGCAAAGGGGCACATTCTGGAGGAAGCTGCAACGGAAAAATTGTCAACGCTCGACAATTTATTTTTGTTGAAAAGGAACATTCTCAGATATATTTATAAACACAAAATCATAGTTCAGTATTCAATAGGTTGCCGTTGGTATTGTTGATAATGGTAATAATAATAAATGAATATTGAAACCGAATTTTAAAGAAATGAGTAAAAAAGAAGGTGGTGCATTCTGGCAACGGCAGAAAATCATTAAACTAAAGCAGTTAGAGGAAGTTGTCAAGAAATGCCCTAAAATACCTTCATTGTTTCTAAAGTCAAATGAGACAGAATCAGAACCGACAGAACCGTCTTCGGAACCGTCGAACCGTCGGAAACTTCACGATCTCAAGACGGAAATGGTTTTATATTTTTTTTACATTCAATACGCGATAAACAAGAGTCAGAATCTCAAGAATAGATGATGAAAATATGAACACGACTAAGCGTTGTTTTAGGAATAATCACAACAAATTCCTGATTCACTGAATATTGGCAATTACTGAGAATTTTTCAACTATCCCTCATGATTAGTAATGCCAGTGGTGGAAACTCATTCTCAACTTTAAAAAGAGTGAAAAACTACCTCAGGAATTTCGTGGTACAGGGTATATTGTATATCTTATCAATTTCGAGTATTAACATTGACATGTTATTAAATCTGAATTTTGATGATGCCATTGACGACTTTGCATCAAAAAAATCAAGAAGAGTATTTTAGTATTCATCTGAAAAAAATATTTGTTGTTTGTTATTATGTTCAAAGTGTGAGGTAAATATAATTTGATTCGTTGTACATAATGATTTCATGTTATTGTTATAAGCTGTAAAAGAAGCAGTGAAAGGATTATTTGAATTTCGAAACTGACAATTGAAAATTGAATATTTGGCGGCGGCGCCGCAGCATCGTAAAAGTTAGCCCCCGGCGTAGGGTAGTATAAATCCGGCACTGCTGGCCTGTTTGGAGATTTGTAGTCAATATGCCTACCCAAATGTGCATTGACTTCTAAAAATATTCTGTACATTGCCAGTGTCCACTGCGACACCAGAAAGAACCTTCTCTACTTTGAAACGCATCAAAACCAATTTGAGGAACACTACCGCCCAAGTGAGGCTTAATTGACTTGCAATGCTATCAATTCATAGAGAGGTAGTCGTATCTGTTGAAGAAATTGCTCTCAAACCAAAGCGCTTAGATTTAATTTTGTAATGTTCAAAATTATTGTAGTTACCAATAATCTTGAATAAAAATATGTTTCGGAAAAAAAAATTATATCCCCCCAAGGTACATTTCTGGGTACGCCACTGTTCCACTTCGCTGTTACGTAAATTATGAAACAACCACAAAGTTCACAATTTTTCAAGATCAAATCATAGAAGTAGACTGACAGACAAAGAATGATAAAGATGCCTGCAACCTGTAACGCATGTGTCATTCCTGTTAAAAACTTCAAATTTCACCTGTGTAATTTTCTAATATCATTTTGATATGTTCTCAATATTGATTGATCCTTTTTTCTTGTGAGAAAAAAATATAGTTTACCTATTATACACGGGTAAAATATTAGATTTTAGCTCACGGTTTTGAGTCTCCCTCCGCTACGCGTGGATACTATAGATATTACATTGTATATTTTTTCTTGAGAAATATATAAGAGGCGTAGCCCGGCGTTTAGGAAGGAAACACTTGCGATTTTATTCGTTTGTACGAATAATTATTGCATAGATTTCAAAAGGATGTAATCCAATATTCTGCGCGGCAGAGAGCCAGGAAATTAGCTGCTTTTCTCTCGTTATCTACCATTCTCGTTCATTTTATGAACTATTGTGGTAATGAATTAGAGTTTCTCTATCTTTGTGAGACTACGTTTATTATCATATCATCAGAGTAATCGTTTTCATAGCTACTATTGTATGCCAGATGTAACTGAAATCACATGCATAGGTAAGCATTTCAAAAATAGCAGTGCTGGGGTTTGCGATTTGACATTTTAGGGGTAGTTGATGTGACGGTGAGGTGGAATATAATTCTACAACAAATATCTCAATCAATGTGTTCCACCTTGATATGTAAATTGACAGGTTTCGTCAAATTTTCAGAGTCACCAGTCAAAGAAATAGTGGAGTGCTGGTGCTGCTCGTTTTCAAATTGTCACCCTGTATAACCATATTGGAATATGAAAAATTCAGCTTAGTTTTTGAAAGTTTGTTTCATTGCAATGGGCGAGTCGACTATTCTTTTTTTATTTATTAAATAAAATCATCACTCAAAAACCCCTCAATTTCATATTTTCTCCTAACTTTTCGGTCTAAAATCATCGATAATGCCACAGTAATTTTCAAACAGCAGAAATATCAGTTATTTAATAATTCATTGAATCTCAATCAAGTATTGGTAATATTCCTAATTAGTAATGAAGAATCAATTGTCCCAAAATGTTTCCTCATGTGTTGTGGCTTATTGTTTATTTGTGTAGATAATAATTATATTAATTCACATATTTGAACTGGTAAACGTGACAACACGGCGCACGGATTGTGGGCGTTGTCTTGTCAGTTCTTATCCATCAGCACGATGTTGCCAAGTCTTCAACATTCACATGATATTTTGTTAGAGTTTAGAGAATATTTGGACATCCTAGTTGCTCGAAAGAGTCAAGAATGAACTGACTTCCTCCTATCATGTTTCATACAACGACAGGACTCTACATCTTTTTGATAACTTGATTATAAATGATGACTTGACAACCATGCTTCATGAGAGGGAATGGAAGATTGTCTGATCAATAACCAAACAGCATAAAAACTGACGTCACTATTCATTCGATGGATCGTCAAATGGCGGCCATGCCGGTACTTTTGAGATGAGCTCTGAAATTCAACGATTTTGAACAACCCATAGACTTATTTTTTCCAAAACAAAGCATGGGAAGTGTTGCGAAAATTGATTCAGGTTCCCAACGACACAGTATAATAATTCATTAATGCCCAGAGTAAGAATAAAGATAAACTAAACACTACCACTATATTTGCTTTTGATTGAAACTTACACTCGTTGAATGAATGCACAGTCAATTTCCTTCTTGCAAGAACTCTTACAATAAGGTGCGACAAGTGGGACCATCCAATTTAAAATAAATTGAGTGGGGTGATGTTGCATCCCTTCAGGGGTTTGAAAACCATTCAGGTTGTTATGAATATGAAGCCCACACACAATCCCAATCGACGTGCTATTGTATTGTTCACAAATATTTGTTCTGAGTAAGGTGAAGTATACAGGCTGTTAACAAAATTGAGCCATTGAAGAAGTGGATAATACAAGATGAAAAAACTTAATGAGATGGGAGAACATATTTTTGTCTAAAACAAAATGCTTTGCTGAATCATCTGACAGTTTTGTTAATCATTGCCTCACCGATAGTTTTTTCTGTTTTTCACGTAAATTTCAATGCTTTGTACATGACTGTTAACAAACTGTGAGGCAAGGGCAGATTTAGTAGAGTTTATATGAGGGCAAATAATATGCGATTTGCGATTCAACTTTTCGATTCATGTTTGATGGTAAAATTATTCGAATGAATACGTATAGTTGCTAGCAATAAAATAATTTAAATTCAACCCTTCAGACGAATAGTTCATCCTACAGAGAAGTGCACAAAAAACAGACAGCGCAGTAACTTCTGAATCATACGGGATCGTGAATAGGAATTCGATGGGATATTGTGCATTCATTCACAAAAAGCTTATTCGATCACTTCTGGTCTAATCAGAACCTACCCCAACTTTTTGATTTTCTAATATAGGCCCCTCATATATTGTTTTGGATACAGAGTATCATTGATGATACACATTCAGGGTATCATTTATCATTAGATTAGATATAGAATAGGGCCTTATTCGGGCTATCTGCCTCCACACCGCGACCTCTGCCCTCAAAATCGTTTTAGCCCCGCCTTCTCTATGATACTCCATAGACTAGCTGTCAGATCCCATTTTTTCTCTCCCAGCGTAAGGAACCTTAGTCTTGACAAGCCCTCACAGTATTCGTACTGCTGTTTCCTCCTCTTCCTGACAAAACCTTCACAGCAGTTCTTCAGCCAGACCTATCGTACTCATGTGTTTGTTGATCCTACATTGCCATGTGAGAAGTCCCACTAGTTTCTAGTTGCACTTCGTTTCTGGCTCAGTAGATATTCTGTGAATATTGTTCCACCATTCTTGAGATCATTAATTATCATACACCAGCAGTTTTCCCGTTCTAAGTATACTTTTCAAGTTCAAATTGGGACATCAATTTCAAATAAATAATAAACACAATCGAATTGGAAATAATCATTTTCAAGTTCAGAATAAACAGTTTCAAATTGAGAACTAACATATACTCAAGTTGAATAACACTATCGAAATTAGAATAAACCTATTCAATTTCAGACCAAACAACTTCAAATTGGGAAATGAATCTTCAATATTGTGTCAACAGCGAAATTATACTTATTAGCAATAATTCATCGTACTTAATATTTGAATTGATGGCGTACATAGATAAGATATAGACAATATTGGAAATCGAATTTGTACGGTGGCGGATACATTCGGCAAAAAAAATCGACAGCGTATCGATGAGTGAAAAATCTGGACGAAATAGGGAAACAACGGGAAGAAGAAGGGAGGACCAAAATTACTCAAGAACATCACATATTATTGTACAAAATTCAATGAACATAAATTGATGTTCAATGATTCATTCTTGATCCTCTGTAATTGATTGATATACTTATGTGAAGTATTTTTATGATTATAAATATGTGTTCATTACATTCGTTTGTAATCAAAATCCTTTTAGATATGTAATATGATTGAAATAAAAATAAGTGGGAATACAAATTCGACAACTGTGTTCATATGGAATTTCGTGTTTTGTATCTTCAACTGATTTGTTACCAAACGAATAATTCCATATTGTTTAGTTCCGATTTGAAATTGATTGGTTGAATTTGAATCTGTTTAGTTTCAATTTGGATTGGTTAAATCCGTGCTAAATCATTTTTTCCCACTCTTCCGAGTGGGCATATTGAAATTATTTCACAGGTGGCAACTATCTATTCATTCGAATAATTTTATCATCAAATGAGAATCAAAACAAAAATACCCGGTCAGTCAGAAAATCTCATTTTTTTTTTGGGTTTATTGGATTTCTGAACTACCCTTTTCAAGTCTAGTCAGTTTATACAGATCAGGTAATGTTATCTTTTCATACGTGTGGTATATAGGACATCACTGCCTCATTCACACTACACCCAGTCACCTTTTTTTAATTCCAAAGAAGGCCGTGGGAATCGAACCCACACCGAGGTATGACTTTCCAGCCAAATCATCGCTACCTCGGCGACAACCTCAATTTTTGTCAACAAACAAAACACGCCCATTATTATATTGTTATATCTTCCTGATATTTTTTTGCAGTTGCATTACCTCGTTGGTCCCAGCACTGGGACCAAACGCCCCATAAGTCGAAACTTGTGCGGGGTTAGGTAAGCATACAAACACAAACATCCATGGCCTAACTAGGATTCGAACCTATGTCTCGGTATATACTCACCAGTTGTTGTTGTGGTTGTGGAGGTAAAGATCCAGGTGGTGGAATGGTGGGGTAATAGTTCGTTGGTGACACGGGAGGACTGGGGTAGGGCCAGTAGAATATCTGTGGTGGCATGAACTGTCTTGGGTCGATCGTTGCAGCTATCTGTACCGGGGCGTATCCAGGGAAATTGGGCCCTGGATGGAACGGTGTTGGCAAGATATTGCCACCTATTCAAAGAAAGGTTAATTTATTAGACGATATTCCAAATTTGGAGAAATGTTCCATATACCGGCGTATAGCAGCTTTAGTAAAGAAGTAGTGGCGGTATTTTTTTTCTCATCATCAAGGACTTCCGTCGTGGTCATTTGAATCAATGTAGTAATGAGCTTTATTCAGATATGAAATAATATAACAGGTGTCTCTAGTCAATAATTGAGTAAGTTAAAGTGCACTATTATCATCGAATATACTTAGTGGGTGACTAAATTTCAAGTCATTCGATGAAGCGGTCGCATTTTTACGGTGTATATGTCAGCGTCAAATAGTGAAATCCGTCATTCTCTGGAATGCCTAGTCATTTCACATATTGCCGGCAAACAGCGTAACTCTAAATTTCGTACACCGTTTGCCTAATAGTTTCAGGCATTCCCTGTAATGACAAAAAGAAGGTTCTATTAGGCCGAGTCAGCTTAATTAAGTTGTTTAGAAGCAGTAGTCTCTTCTGTTCTCTCAAGTAATTTTCTGAAACATATACTTTCTAGGATAAAGGTACATGTAGGCATAAAAATAGTCTCCCTGCGTATGTATATGTAGATAGTATATTTCAACCCTCCGGCAAACAGAGTAACGGATGAAAATTGAAGTTACGTTCTTACGCTGTTACGCTGTTTGCCGACACTACGTGAAATGACTAGGCATTTCAGGGAATGACGGATTTCACTGATTGACGCCGACATATACATCATTGGAGCGAAAGATTATTCACTCTCAAGTGTGTTCGATGCCCTCTGCTACGCGGAAGGAAATAAAAACTTTACCTCCCTTGATATGTAAATCACCATTATATAGAGTACAGTACTGGAGATAAAAGAAATAGCACTGGCATTGGTTCGTGCAGGAGAGAATGCAAGTATCCTGCTTCATTCATAGTATCATCAGAAATAATCTTATATTATTCCAGCCCACATATGAGTACTCTGTTGACGCTTAGTATGAATTTTACTACTCCAATAAGGCTTTATGATACTACAATAACGACAGCTTTGGCAACTTATGCAGTATCCTCTCTAGGGTTTTTGATCGATACTTCGTTTCGAACTGTGAATACGAGACATAAACTAAATTTCTCTTTGCGATTGTATGAAAACACTGGCAAATAGCAAATATCAAGAAATTGCTCTGAATTGTTAGTGGGACCTTCTGAAAATGAAAGTCAACGCACATTTTTTCAGCAATTATTATGTCTTTCAGATTGACTCTGAGCTGTGATTTTTTTTCATTTGAAAAAACATGTTGAAGGTAAGTAGTTTCAGCTACCCCTGAAGGGTTATATTTTTCTCATTCCATGCAAAATATTGAGAAATACATTGAAACATTGATGTGTCTCAATTCTTAGAAACCATATTCACTTCCCGCTAGCGATATTATTCTATTTGAAGTCTCCACTCAGTATATTATTTCAAATTACCTATAATGATCATTTCTCGAATTTTAGTTGATGCTATTTCAATAGCGTCCTCATTTCTATATATTCCACCCCACCAAGGAGATTTTTCATTCAATATGATAGCCTTAATGAGAAAAAAATACTTCCATCATTTCTTCTGCCACAAACCAACGTATGCTCCCATAATAAATATGGAAGAACTTGATACCATGAATGACGACAATATAATAATTTGAAACGGAATTCAATTTTGCTTCAAGCACTTAGTTCAAAGTGTCTATAGTTCTCTTTAGGTTTGAGGTTTCTGTACACACTATGGAGTATTTCCCCAACTGCGAAACATAATGATATTACTTATATAGTTGAAGATCATAAACATAGGTTTACTATGTTCTTCTAACATTTTCGAACGTGAAAATTCATACTCTGACCACATATTATATATTGTCGTCACTATAAACCATGAGAAATTGTTTTGATTATATACTAACGTATTTCTGCATTAATTATGCAACTCAGTAATTCGCGGTAACCAGAGGGTTATTTTGAGAAAATTCACTAGAACTATCACACACCTTGGAAACTATTTATCAAACCTCTCGAAAAGTACAGGTAGGTATACATAATTTGTTTTTCTAAAATGACCTAGCCATTGTTGCTATACCCCCCATTTCTCTGGAACTCTCATATTGAGTGTGTAAGATATTATATATAATTCCATATTCGGTTAGTGATTCAAAATAAGAATTCATCGATGGAGTATACGTTGAATGACTACCTACGATATGAAATTCTTCCATTTACCAATTGAGTGTGATTTGCGTGGTGTCAAAATAATAAAAACAATGTTATGTTTATTCCATCAAATGACTGTTTTTATATATAAATACAAAATGAATTACCTAATATTACAACTATGATTCACCATGAGAGGAATATCACGAGGAATACCTTTGAATAAAATAAAATACTTCAGCAATACATTTGTTGATCATACCATTACGCGATAATTTTTCGAAATTTCAGGGACAAAATCACAATCTGCTCATACAGATTGTCTAATTCAAAATGAATCAGATGGTAGTTTCAGAAAAGCGGAGAATGTGAAGCAACAATGTCTTTATTATTTCAGAATTGAATCTATAACATAGCCACACTATTTTTTTTTTCAATTCCGATGAATTGTTGCTCTTGATATTTGACCGTATGCCCAACCTTGTTAATTTCGTCAGTACACAAAGAAATAAATTTATAGAAATAAAATATCTACCTATAACGTGATATTTGCATTCTATTTTTCAATTGCCAATCTTATTAGAATCGTTTTACGCGAAAATTTGTTTTCTTCACATTCGAAAGTATATACTCACCTCGATGTAGGGAAAGGAAGAATAGGGGTACGTAAGTTCAATATTTTCTTATACCACCACCATTAAACAACATTCCAAAATCCAAACGCGTATGAATTGTAGACATTTCTGCATCGCAATTGATACGAAAATGTTTACTTTTGTCACTGCCAAAATAATTCACAAAATAAACATGAAATATTACTTTATGAAGGAATTATCTTTAACAGTCAATTATTGATTGATCATTCATCATGAAACAATCTCAATCATTGGAATAATATTAATTGATAGTATAATTTGAACAATTACTTTCAACATACATGCTCAAAGATGTTCCATATTGCTGCTGCTCCGAAACGTTAGATATGTCTTAAAGAGTTGATTCCACAATTTCATCAGATATTTCATTTTGTTTGAAAGGATTGAGGTGGACAATTCAATATTTTGTTAGCATTCCCAATTTTGTGAAATCACATTCACAGTTGTACAAAATACGAAATACGTTAGTTGTTATTCGTGAATAAATTTCCAGAGAATTTCAGCACTCTTATGTCCAATTAAAAAACACAAATTCTACGAACTTTATACAAAAATAACTATTTCTCCATGACTCTCATGAATTGATCCTCTGAACCGATCACAGAAATAAACGATTTCAAGGATTCAGGGTGTATACTAACAATATTTTTTTGAACATTTTCTCGTGAGCATGTTGCAATATCAACTTTCTGGAACAACTGTATGGATGAAAGTTTTTCTTCAAAACATCAAACCACCCCTAAGAAAACACCCTCAAAGTTACCTCAGAATAGACCCCTTTACTATTTTGGAATATCAATAGATAATCCATGAAAGGTATTTACAAAACCTCACCACATTTTTATCAGACAAGAGCAATTCGATTCAAGCCAAATCACTTCAGTAGAAAGTTGCTCAGTTTGGGCGCTACACTTTTGAAGTAACAATTTTCAAATCGTTGTGGCTTCATAACTTCGAATCAGTTCATGAGATTTCACTCAAATTTGATATACGTTGGCATAGCTGAATTGGGTAATAAAACCCATATCTTGCATATTTCAAATATCATTCCATGGGCGTACAAATTGATTTTTTTTGTGAATAAACATCTTCAACTTCTACGCAAATGGAGTTGCGAGTTGCGTAACTTGTTTACTATAAAAAAGATACTCTTGATAACAATTGAATATTCTCTCATGGTTTCGCCAAAATTTGAATTTTAGTAATTTGAAGCATCGGGCAACACTAAAATGATTAATATAGATATTTCATAAAACAAAATCAAATTTCCCTCGTACGACGATGCAAATTGAAATGTGCTATCAACTATTTTTTCGTGATTTTTTGGTGAATTCACTTGTATTCATTTTTTTTCGTCCTAAATCTTTGTTTACGTGAAAATGATAAACATATTGAAGAATTTCCATGACATATCTGTTTATCGTTCTGATGTTAACTGATGCTTTAAATTACTGAAATTCTAATTTTGTCGAAACCCTGAGTAATCTAATTCCATCAAGTGTACCTTTATTGTAGTGAAAAAGTTGCGAAATCCGAATTTTATATTCAAACCCCTTCCTTTACATTGGCGTAAAAGCATAAGATGTTAATTCACTATTTACGCCCATGACATGACATTTATAATAATCATAATATGGGTTTTATTGCCCATAGGAGCTATGTCCACGTACCAAATTTTAGTAGCATCTCATGAACCGTTTACAAATTATGAAGCAAAAACGATTCGAAAATTGTAACTTCAAAATCTCTGCCTCTGTAAAGAGTTGCTTAGTTTGGGCAACACAACATATGTGGTAAGTTTCTGTGAATACCTTTGAGGGACACCCTGTATATGCAACGTGTCTCACTGCAAACAGGCCCCCTCTATATCTCAGCTATTAGTCGTGTGATTCGTACCAAATTTGGACCGGTATGGTCTGAATAACCAATATGATCAGTTTTTCAGAGATGAGCATCATTCTGGACGGTGTCGTGCTTCTTTATCGAAATAAAAATGGGCCGACTCTTTATGAAATCATATCAGGAATTTTTTTGCAAGAAAACTAAATCCATATTATTGTTCAATGTTCCTCATGCTTTAGGACCTTATTCCGAATGGACATGCCTCGAATAAATAGTGAATTCAAATTAAATACAAACTTCGGCACCTTCAATAGCTACGGTAGGTAGA